ACCCCTCTCCACCCTCCTCCAAAGAAAGACAACTCTTGTAACAAAGAAAAAAGAAAGAGAAAAAGAATAATTCGCCAAAACTTGCCAACACTATGTCTGACAGTGTATGTGCTATTCTATACACCTAGTTTCCCACCTCTGCAAAAAAAAGAAAGAAGTGTATTTTCTCAATTCACCACCAGGGCCAACTGAATCCATTTTAATTTTCATAGTCTTCCTTCCTGTTTCTGTTTCCTTTGATCTCACTCTGCATCAGTTGTTTTCATTCTCTATCTTTCTTGGCTTCTCTGAATCCTTTGCATTCAGCATTGCTTACAGCACAGTAATATTCTTTTACATTCATAGACCTCAATTTGTTTTGCCACTTCCGTGAAACAGTAGATAAAGTCTCTCTTGTGAATCTTGAGGAAAAGATAAGAGAGATGTAAAGAAGAGTACAGTTTGATCAATTCAAAACTGGGCAAATGGCCAGATCCAAAGTGTGGTCATTAGTGATTTGACAGAAAGAGGTCTCTAGTGGGATGTCCTAGGAATTTGTGCTTGGTCCTGTGGTATCTAACTTTTTTATCAATAAAGGGCCATCATACTTTCAGATGATACAAAGCTGAGAGGGATAACTCACACATTGGACGACACAAGTTCCAAAAAATTCTTGATGGGCCAGATGGTAAGAATCAAATAAGATGAAATCTATTTAGGTTAAATGTAAATCAGTTCCCTCATCAATAAAATGAAGAGCTTGGACTAGCCTATGAGGTCCCTTTCTGCTGTTAGGATCTATGATCCTATGTGTGACCTTGGACAAGTCACTTTAATTCTATGGGTCTCAATGTAAAATGAAGGGGCTAGACAAAATGGTCTTGGAGGTCTCTTAAAGCCCTTAATCTAGAATCCTATGAAAGTATAACAAGGTTGAATTGGCCGTAGAGCATGCTCAGAGGTGCCAGTCATGGTTCCAGTGATCACATGGGAGCTTCAGGGCCTGCTTCCAGGCATATGTAACTTTGGCCTAACAAGTTTGTATTTTGAGATGACAAACAGTCTCCTTATTGCCTGCGGAGTTGGAAGAGCTGATGACACAATGAATTATAAAAGGGAGATATTGTCACTTTACCCTCTCTCTTCCTTTATGGCTACAAATAGGGTCAGGACTGTTTGGAGCTATTTCCTGAAAGGGAATGGGGGGGGAGGGGGAAGGCAATTTGACACCTTCCCACCTCAACCCAGCCTCCATGTGGCCATGATCACATGGCATCTAAATCACATGTCCTACCTAGACAATCCTGACCCTGGGTTTTTGTTTTTGTCTGTTTGTATTTATTCTCCCTTGATCTTAACCAAATGAATATCTATCCTGAGAAGGTGACTTTTTGAGTTCAAGAGGTACAGAGATTCTGAGTCTCCTGACAACTACTGTAACAGTCTTATAAAAGATGTCCACCCACAAGAGAATTGGCCTAAGCTTGACCATTTTACCACTGGATGCGTACTAGGACAGCATTTGGACAGTACAGAGACAAGGTGAAATATAAAATGGCTAATTAGCAGTGCTGCAAACTGTTTTATGTTTTGATGAGGTTTAAGTTTTAGCTTCCCAGCCAATTGTAACAGTCATTAAAAGTTACTGAATTCTGTTTTAAGTTTGTTTTTGTCAAATACATGCTTGTGAGTGTCCTATTTTTTTATATATTCATATTAACATTATAAATATATTAATATTAACATTTCTTTTGTGTATAGGAAGAAATTACCTCTCATGCTTGATTCATATTGTACATTGAGCACTTTTTTTACTCCCCTCCTTTTTTTGGGGAAACCTTAGACATGAGCCATGACCTAAGCAATAAGTATATCATCCCTTGGAACATCAGGGTAGGGATTTAATGAACCAAAGAGTGTACAATTAGGAAGCCTAGCCCCTTCTCATTGGAGGCCAGACTCTCTCACTTCTGAACCTATCTGCCTATAGGACATAAAATAGATAAAGTACCCTCACCCCTCACAGGCCCAGAAGAAGTTTCTCAAGAACATCGTGGTTCAAAAGAGCTACCTTGGAACAAAATGGGAAAGGCAAGACTATGTAGCAACTCATCTGGAAAAGATATGGGGTTTTTATGAACTGCAAACTCGATATGAGTCAACCATGTAATTTGGCAGTCAAATCAATCTAATGGGAAGCTGGACTGCATTAAGAGAAGCATGGTGCGCAGTACTAGGGAGGTGCAGTACTAGGGAGATATTCCTATTACTCTGACCTGATCAGACCACTTCTTGAGTACTGTGCTCCGTTCTGGGAACCACATTTGAGGAAGAAAGGATATTGATAAACTAGAGGTTATCCAGAGGAAGATCATATACAGATCAATTGAGGATAGTGGGAATGTTTGGAGAGAGAAAAATACTCAAGGGATACATGATAGTACTTGAAAGACTGTCAGATGAAAAAAAAGATTAGACTTGTTCTGTTTGGGCCCAGAGGTCAAAACCAGGAACAGTGGAGAGAAGTTAGAAAAAGACAATTTTAGGCTTTGATTTCAGGAAAAATTTCCTAAAACAGTTAAAGCTGTCTAAAAGTAGAATGAGCTGCCTCAAGAGATAGTGAGCTCCCCTTCATTGGAGATCCTCTAGAAAAAGCTGTTTGACCATTTGGATGTGTTGCAGAGTAGGAGCTCTTAAACTGGGATCCACAGACCCTCAGGAGGTCTATGGAGAAATTTGGGGTAGGGTTTTTAAAAGTGGAATTTTTAATATTATAACTTCATTTCTAACTAACTCATTTCCTTTGTAATCCTATTTATTTTATTTCTGCATTTAAAAACATTCTTCTGAGAAGAGCTGCATAAGTTTCACTATACTGCTAAAGGGATCTGTGACACAAAAATTAAGAAGCCCTGTTGCAGAAGATATGAGTTGGACTAAATGACTTCTGAAGTTCCTCCCAATGAGGAAATTTGGTGATTTTCTGAATCAAGGTTATAGATAATCCAGGTTGAGAATAGCCTAATGTAGATAACAGAACCCAGGCGGGAAACTGAGAGTTGCTGGTGGTATGGTGAGTCAAATCCCAGCTCTGCTACCAACTTGCTGTGTGACCCTCAGCAATTACTTCTCTTCCCTGGACCTCAGTCTTTCCATCTGTGACACTTCCTCCCGTTCCTCACCCGATGCAAGAAAGAATGGATCACAGGAAACTAGACCTCCTTGGTTGGGGTAGACACATTGGAGGGATTTTCCATTGGTTGGTATTGTGGGAAGCAGATGACAAGAGACAGAAGCAGAACTCTATCTCATGACCTCAGGCACTCGGATCTGGGGTTCCCCAAGGTTGCTGCCCTCCACTGCTGATGATCATGACCCTTCCCCCATCTCCATCCAATCCAATCTGATCCAATTCAAATAAGCATTTATTTAAGGCACTGTACTAGATGCTGAGTATACAAAGACAGAAAGGAAATAGTGCCCTCAGGGAGCTTACATTACATTCTCCTTGGGGGGGGTACAACATGCAGAGATAAGCATATACATAATAATTTCAAATGGTAAAAGGGAACACAGATAACTATGGGGGAATAGGAAGGGCTTCCCACAGGATGGACAGCAAGTAGGCAGAGTGAACTCCAGCCTCTGCAAAAGCCAGAGAGGGAATGTTGAGTTTGGAGAACAGCAAATAAGGTAGTTTGATTGGCTCATAGAGTGTGTGAAGGACAGTAATGTGCAATTAGGCTGGAGAGGTAGGCTGGAGCCAGATCATGAAAGGTTTTGAATACCAAGCTGAGAAGTTGGTGGTTTGAGCCAAGGTAATAGGGAGCTACAGAATGTTCTTTAAGTAGTTGAGTGATGCAGTAAGATTGCATCCCAGTCAATATCAGAAGAGGGCTGGGGATTGAGTGCCCAGGAAGGTTGACCCCAGCAGGCCAGGCCTTAGAGCTGGTTTGGGCAATGGAGTCTAGGGAGTGGAGGACACTGTGAAGAGGGCATGAAGGGGGTTAAATATAGTGGGAAGAGCACTGCATTCAGAGTGAGCACATCTGGGTTTGAATTGTGACTTGGCTATTGTCAGAGATGACATTGGCCAAAGGAGCGTGATTCCTGGTTCTGTAGAGTAAGAATTAGACTCTTTCTGAGGCCCCTTTCAGCTCTAGATCATGTGACTGAGTCAAGCTGTCTTTTTGCACAGATTTGTTGTACATATATACCATTGGAGAACTGTTTCCTTCTCTGGGCTTTGGTTTTCCCAGCTATAAAAATGGGAGGACTAGAGTTGATGATTTCAAAGCTTCCACAGCTTTTGTTCTTTTCTGACCTGTGTAGACAGCTCTCCATCCTGTCTAGTTAAGGATCCACCCAGCCTGTAGCCTCTAATCACCTAGGCCCTAGCCAATAGACTGAAGAGGGTCAGCATTGTTGTTGACCTGACAAGTTGATAGCGGTCTGATAGAGGGGAAGGAGCCCTGGGCTTGGGAGTCAGGAGACCTGAAGCCTAATCCTGGCTCTCACACTCTCTCATTTGACTTTGAGTGAGTTGCTTACCCTCTCTGGGCCTCAATTTCAGCATCTGTTAAATGGGGCTAGCTCCTGCCCTACCTTCTTCACAGTGAGGAGCACATGAGAGAACGGATTGGAAGTGAGACCTCTCTGAGCCTCAGTTTCCTTATCTGTCAAATGGGGAGACAAATATTAATAGAGACACTGGAAGGGCTAATGATAACAATTTGTCTGCTTACAAAAGCTCATTCCCCTTCCTGGGAAGCACAAGGCTGCTACATAAGCAATAATATATGGGGCCTTTTAGTCCCCTGGAGGATTATGGGAAAGGGACAGGGGTGCTGGAGAAATTGCTGGGAGTCTGCCAGAATGTCCAATGGAGAGATGGGGGCACTGGTAAGAGCACTGGATTTGGAACTAAAGGACCTGAGTTCAAATCCTAGCTTATTTTGCTCTGTGACCTTGGGCAAGGCCTTCCCTGGGCCTCAGTTTCTTCCTCTTTAGAATGAGGGGGTCAGACTAGGTCATTTCTAAGGGTCCTTCAAGCTCTAAATCCTATGATCTTACTCTGTGAATGTCTCCAGTCCCCCCACCACCTTAGAGTGTTACCACTGACACCTAGTGTCCATGTTGGGGAATTGCACCTTCTCCAATTCTTCCATCACCAGCGCCAAGACCATGTAGTTGATGAGCTTCTCCTCATCTATAGATGAGGACCTGGGTGGTGGGGTGAGAATAAGGGGCTAAGGGGCATAGAGCCATGAAGGTCCATCCACTATCCATTCCTACCTTTTCAGGAGATGAAGGCAGCTTAGGGTAATGCACTTGGAGTCAGAAGGACCCAGGTTCGAATTCTACTTCTGGCACATATGGGCTGGGTGACCCTGGGTGAGTCACTTTACCTCTGGCTGTCTTAGTTTTCTCATCTGCAGAATGAGGGGGGTGGACTCGATGGTCTCTAAGATCTCTTCCTGCCCTCAATCTATGACTATGAGGTGGTGTGGGGACAGAGGGCAAGTGACTCCAAGCTATTGACACCCACCTACCGCTCCAAAAAGCCCTAGCAATGCCACTGTGGGCCTGAACCTGACCCTGACTGTCTTGGGCCATGATGTAACTGTAAGACTGTTTTATGAAGCAGGAGAAGGGTAAGGGATCACCTGGTGATGTTGGGCATGGAGTTGGGTGGGCAGGGACAGGAGGGCGGGTGGCCTTCCTGTTAGGCTTTCCCTGGTGTACAGAGATAGTCAGGGCAGGCACCTGGGGTCCCATCCCACCTCCCCGAGGGGCCTGGGGCCTGTCCCATCACAGGGTCCCACTGGGCCTCAGCTTCTGACGGGCCAGAGCGACAGCATAGCACCTCTGAAAGCGGACCAGGAGGATGGGCACCAAAAGGACACTGGTCAGCATGCCTGCCATGGCTGTGATGGCAGCTGTGACCTGACCCAAGGCAGACATGGGGTAGATGTCCCCATAGCCCACAGTGGTGAGGGTGATCACCGTCCACCAGAAGCAGGTGAGGATGTCAGCAAAGTGCACCTCACTCTGGCCCTGGCCATGTCCGGTGCCCAGAAGCTCCCCGTACAGGAAGAGGGAGCCGAACAGCAAGATCTCTCCAGCCCAGAGTAGGAGCAGAAGGCCTGCCTCCCGCCAGGAGGAGCGCAGTGTGTGAGCCAGCACCCGCAGGGCCAATGGCTTCTCCACCAGCCCCAAGAGGCGGCCCAGCTTAAGCACATAGAGTACCCGCAGAGCCCCCAGCACCAAGCACAGGCGGGGGTGGCGCTCAGCCCGCCGGCCCACAGCCAGCTCCACCAGCACAGGGAAGAGGGATGCCAGGTCAACCAGGGTCATGGGGCTGCGCAGGAATTTGACCTTGTTGGGACAAGAGATGCTTCGAGCTAGCAGCTCGGCCCCGAACCACAGCACACACAGTAGTTCCAAGTAGAGAAGGTGGGGGGCCCGCTGGTACACTAGGCCTGGGCTTGGGGCCTGAGGTGGGGGCAGACCCTCCTTCTCACCATCCCAGGGTTCCAGCGGCCGGAAGTTGGACGTGAAGTAGTCCAGCTGCACTGAGGTTTCTTGGAAGAAGATGACCAGAACACCCAGGAGGAAAAGCATGGAGAGGAGGGCAGCACACTGTGGGAGGTGAAAAAACCTGTCAGGCACCTCCCAGGCAGCACTGCCCCGAGCCCCCCTCCCAGGGGCCCCAAGCCCCTGCTGGGAAAGCTCCAGCCTTGGTGAAGCCTTCCCAGACACACTCTACCTGGCTCGCTTGGCTTCTTTACTTAAGGGCTGCTTCAGCACCTGGGGCCGGGCCCAGTTTGCACTAGAAAGTGAGGGAAAGAATGCAGCAGAGAATTGTAGCATATCAGAGCATAAGGACAGAATGGTACAGCTGGAAAGGTCATCAGGAGAGAGAGAGTAGAGAACATTAGAGCTGGGAGGGCCCTTAGAGCAAAGGGTGGCAGAACCGGGAAGCACCTTGGAACTGAGACTGGTGGAACTGGGAGCCCAGGATGGCAGAGCAGGGAGGGATCTTAGAGCATAGGCTGACCCTAAATGGCATGATATCATACGCATTCCAGAAAGGAATGATGTTTGGTGAATGAGGACTGAGCCCAAGGCCCCAGGGACGGCCCTCGGAGCAGGGGGCAGGAGGGGAGGGGAGGGTACAGAGCTTGTCTGTGGGGCCAAGACTGTTACCTTGCCTGCTAGGGAGGAGCAGGGCTGGTTGAGTAGAGTCCACAGCCATGGTTTCCAGGTTCCCTGGGCCCTGGTGGAGTTGGGACTCTCAATGGGTCCCAGCAGGCCTTGTTCTTCACCCAGCTCACTCTCCTCCCAGGCGTGGAAGTCCTCAGCCCTTCCGTCACCACCACTGAGCTTCAGCCAACAACAGGGGGCCAAAGGGGCATCCGCCAGCCCCCAGAAGGCCAGCTCTTCTTCTAGCACTGCCCGGCATATGTCTGGGGGGCAGTGCAGCTGGTGTGTTCGGTAGTAGCCCAGTATGTAGCCAAAGAGGTGGGGGCTGCGGTCAAAGAAGACCTCTCGGGCCAGGGTGCCACCCATGGGGGGCTCCGTCAGCTGGTAGAGCCGTGTGCCAGGGAAGGCCCGCAGAGTGCTGTGGTATGTCTCATAGCGCACGCCCCCCACATTGAGGACCAGCCTCTCTCCTGAGCCCTCCATGACCTGCCTGCCTGACTCTGGGTCCGCTCGGCTCTGCAGATGAGAAGAAGTGGTACTTTAGGATTGGGTCCACTGGAGATCCAGATTGGTTCCCCACCCCTGCCCTCCCTGTCTTTTCACCCCAGTAGCTCCAGGCTTAGGCTGGGAAACAGAGTTCCTGAGAAGGGAAATGGTTGGGGCAAGGGAGCGAAAATGGTGAAGACAGCTGGGATTCTGAAAGCCTGCTCTACACTGGGTTCCAATCCCAACTTTGCCACTGTGCTACCTGGAGGACCTCAGTTGGACCAGTCACTTTCCTCTGGGCCTCAATGTCCATTTCATAGCTAGAAAATAACAGAATTGAACTCAATGACCTCTTTTTTTGTTTTGTTTTGTTTTGTTTTGTTTTGGTTAGGCAATGGGGTTAAGTGACTTGCCCAGGGTCACACAGCTAGTAAGTGTTATGTGTCTGAGGCCGGATTTGAACTCAGGTCCTCCTGAATCCAGGGCCAGTTCTCTATCCACTCAATGACCTCTTTTAGCTCCATATTCTGTATTCAAAGATTTTTTTTTCCAGTTATAATGTTCTGGTTCTCATTTTATATTCTAGACCCCCCTCCCCATATCAACAAAATCAGGGAGTTTCAGTTTGAAGGGCCCCTTCAAAGTGGCCATGCAGTCCAACCCAGAAAAGAATCCTCTCTATAAAATACCCTACAAATGGTCATCCAGCCTTTGCTTGAAGACTCCCAATGAGGGGAAATTCACTGTCCCTTGAGGCAACTCATTCCACTTTTGGACAGCTTGAATCATTAGAAAGTTTCACATGACATAAATTTGCCTCTTGGTAACTTCCTCCCATGGTTTCTGGGTCTGCCCTCTCAGATCAGACAGATTTGCTATCCCAAACATAACAACTCTCACATCCCCACATCCAGCCTTATCTTCTCCAGGCAAAATATTGACAGTTCCTTTGATTCATCCTCCTAGGGACTTAACACCTTTCACCATTTTGGTTGCCCTCCTCTGAATGGTTTATGCTTTATCAATATCCTTTTTAAAACATGACATCCAGAACTGAGCACAGTAATTCAGATGTTTTCTGACCAGGGCACAATACTGTGTGACTATCACCTCCTTGTTCCTGAAAGCTATGTCCCTCTTAATGCAGCTTAAATTCACATTAGCTTTTTTGGCAGCTACATCATAGTGTTGACTCAAAATGAGTCAGCCTCCAGATATTGGATGGTGCAGGCAAATGGGGATTATTCAGAAGTCTGCCAAAGGACTTTACCTTCCTGAGGGCATCCAATAGACTATTTGAGAATTTTATGCTACTGGATTTGATCATGAACTTGGGTAAGTTTTTTGGATTTTGTGCATTTTCTGTGATGGGTAAAAGAAAGGCTGCCTTGTATCTGGCACCTATATGTAGATTACTCTGCAGGAGTTGGGAACCCTCTTACTCACATTTCAGAAATTCTAGATACGAGCCATATTGGGCTTTATTCAGATTTCCTTGGAATTTAGTGTTGTCTGATCCACTAACTTGTGAAATTGATTTTTTGAACCCAGTGTAAGACTTTGCATTTATCCATATACATTTTATATTATTGGCAGCTAGGTGATGCCATGGGCAGATTTCTGGGCTTAGAATTGGGAAGGCATCTTCATGAGTTCAAATCCAGACTCAGACATTGCTAACTGTATGACGCTGGGAAAGTCACTTAACCCTGTTTGCCTCAGTTCCTCATCTGTAAAATGATTAAGAGAAGGCAATGGCAAACTACTCTTTTCCAAGAGGGGTATCTTTTCCAAGAAAACCCCAAAGATGGAGGTCACAAAGAGTCAGACATTGACTGAACAATAACAACAACATTTTATGTTAGATTCAGCCTTTTTTTTGCTCATTTTCTCTCCCTTGGACCTCCAAGTCAGAATACAGTGGAATAAGGGAGGAAGGGATTTCTCTTTCTTCTGCCCAGGAACAGAAAATGATGACTTGCAGGAGAAGCACGTGGCAAGTGACAAGTGACGGGTACTTGACTAAGTGAGTCTGAGAGGGGACCTCAAGTTTCTAGCTACCTTCTGCCTTTCTCTTTCTTTTTCTGAGCACAGGTCAGACACCAGTAATCCTGAGGGTGGATACTCCCAAACATGGGGTTTTTACCTTGTTAGTGAGCCTGTGTTCCAGAGTTCCCAAGTTGTAGAGTTTCCAAGTGATTGAGTTCTTAAGTTTGAGAGTCAGGGACCAGCCTCCTAGAAGAAGAAAATTTCTTCACCAAAGTACTTGGAGAAAGAAGATCACCCCAGCAGAAGGGCCAAAGCCATGTCATGAAATCCACAAAGTCTGGACCTTTCTGACTCTCAGTAATAATACTATCAATTGCTTGGACAGTGCAGACAGAGGGTGAATGGGGAGTGCTTGTTAGCAGCCCACCCAAGTGCCTTTACTTTTAAGGGGAGTCTATTAGGTACAGGCTCTGCTAAGTCCTTTGTACCTCATGCATTTTCTGTGGTGAGGGAAATAAAGGCAGCCTCACACCCAATACTCATATTATGGATTGAGTGCATACAGGAGCTATGGACAATATTTGAGGAATCCTAGGCAAGAGCCATATCTAATTTTCTTCATATTTCCCCTGAATTTAACACTAGAGTGCAAGCATGAGCAAAACAGAAAACCTGACCCTTTTGGGATCAGCCCTGAGCATCAGAAATGAGGTCAATTTGGAAGGACCAGAAGGAGTCAATGTTCTAGAAGCAGAGTTGGGTTGAGTACTGGGCTTAAAGTCAGGAAACCATATTCAAATCCCACCTTGGGCATCTATTACCAATGTTTTCTTGGGCAAGTCCCTTTCATCATCTGTAAAATGGGGATGATCCTACTGTTGCTATTTCCCTCCAAAGTCGTTGTGAGGAAAGCAAACCATTTTCTTCTCTAGCTCATTTTAAAGATGAAGAAACTGAGGCAAACAAGGTGAAATGACCCACCCAGGATCACACAGCTAGTAAGTGTCTGAGGTCAGACTTGAACTCAGGTTTTCCTGACTCCAGAGCTGAAGCTCTATTCGCTGCAGCGCCACCTAGCTGCCCCACAACCTTCCCACCCACCTACTCAAGGCAGCTTCCTTCCCTTCCCTTCCCACATTCTCCCCTCCAATTCTATAACCAGGACACAAACTCCAAACCATGAACCAGTTCTTCTACTGTGCCTGGTTGGGATGTGTCAACCTACTTACTCACCTGTGGACTTACCATTGTTGTGACTTCCCTAACCAAAGTGGCCCTCCGTGGTTACCACTTCCCTGTGTGTGAAGCTTTTTGTGGGCAAGGACTGTCTTTGCTTTTGTATTTGTAACCCCAGTGCCTAGCACACTGCATGGCACATAGTAAGAACTTAATAAATGCTTTTGATTTCATTCATTCATTCATGTTGTAAGAATCCTTCTTATTCTAATGTGCTGTGTTCTAAGCTCTCTTCTAACTGACATTCTATGTTCTCAGCTGCCTCCCAGCTCTTCCTTTATTCTAAATTCCCTTCCAGCTCTGACATTCTGTGAAATCCACCTCGGGGCAGATCTGGGACAAAAGCCAAGTTAGGGCTTCCCAAGACAGCGTAGCCCCAACCTTGGACGTGAGCCTTTCTTGGATGGAAGGGACCGGCCATGACCTGGGCTCCTGGAAAAACAGGAATAAGAGAGGATTGTAGCCTAATTAGGGAGGTCCTTGAAAGCCCTGGTCAGGAGGTTAAAACTTTCGGGGGAAGGGCTGGGGCGGGGGCACCACACATTTCTGAGGAAGGGGTCTAATCTCAGAAGGAGGTGTCCTTAACAAAGATTGGATAACGACACCAGTTTTGTCTAGTGCTTTTTCAAACTTCACAAAGAGCTTCTCTCACAATGATCCCTTGAGGTCAGTGGCATGCAGGTATTACGGTCCGCATTATGTAAAGGAGGAAAGTGAGCCCCCGAGGATCGCAGCAAATATAAGCACAGTCTGTTAGCTAGTAAACTGCAGAGGAGAAACTAGCCAGATCCCAGAGAGGTCAGGATAGAGAACCAGGGAAAGCAAGGAGGTTTGCTAATCCTGAATGAGTTTTCCAAATGAAGAGAGAAGATTTCAGGGGTCACTGCTGTTTCTCTCTCTCTCTCTCTCTCTCTCTCTCTCTCTCTCCCTCTCGTTCTCTCTCTCTCTCTGTCTCTCTTTGTCTCTGTCTCTCTGTTTCTGTCTCTGTCCCTCTGTCTCTCTCTCTGTCTCTCTGTCTGTCTGTCTGTCTGTCTGTCTGTCTGTCTGTCTCTCTCTCTCTCTCTCTCTCTCTCTCTTCCAGGTTGCTGAGGAAAGATTAAAGACTGTCAGCCCAGAAAGGATTTTAGAAGATCAAATGTCAGATCTGGAAAGGACCTTAGAACCAAGAATATGAGAGCTAGAAGACACTTCAGAATGTAAAACATTAGAGCTGAGAGGGATCTCTGAATATCAAATACTAGAGCTGGAAAGTACCTTAGAACTTAAAATGTCAAAACTGGGAGGGTCCTTAGAACGTAGAATGTTAGAGCTAGGATGGACCTCAGAACACGAAAAGTCTGAGTTGGTAGAGACTTTAAAACATAGAGGGACCTTTGAACAAAAATGTCAATGTTGGAAGGGACCTTAGAACTTAGAATGTGAGAATTTGAAGACTAAAAGTCAGAGCTTGAAGAGATCTTAGAACATAGAATATTCATGCTGACAGGGACTTTAGAGTCCAGAATGGCAGAGCTGTAAAGGACCTTAGGACAAAGAATGTCAGAGAAGGAAGATACCTTGGAACAGGGAGCATCAGAGCTAGAGGAAACTCTAGGCAACGCCCCCCCCACCACCTCCCTCATTGTTCACAGGAGAAGTCGAGATCGGCTCACATACCTAGTTGGTGACTGAGCCAGCTGTGGTCACCCAACACTTACAGAAGGTCCTTCTGCAGGCAAGTCACCCCTAGCATCCCTGGGAGCCTGGAATCTAGGGGAGCTTTGAAGAGACTCCTGTTGAGTCTGCAAGAACTGCTAATCCTCTAGATATGTTGTGCCAAGGGTGCGGTCAGTGTGACTAGGTCTATATGTTAAGTGCAGCATCCCGGACTTGTGAAGCTTGTACAAAGGTGCCCTCCCTCCTGCTCCATAGATTCCTCCCTCCCTCCTCCTCCCCCACCCCTCCCCCATTAGAAGCTCAAATAGAAGCAAGTCAAAATGCCCTTGCTCCAGAATTGGGGGTGGGGGTGGGGGCTAAGCCCTGGTGACAAGGGTGCTAAGTGGCTGGGTGGGTGTGGGGAGTGTCTGAGGAGCTGGAGCCAGCCCAGGGTCAGAGGAACCTTGAGGAGGCGACTGAGCTAAGATAAGGGGCAGGGGGGCTGTCACCCTGCTGGATAGCACAAAGCTACCTCTACCTATCTTCCATAGTGACCTGCAATGGCACCAACAACCTCTAACCAGGCAGGTTAAACCCCATGGTTTTAGCCAAGGAGGGAATCAAAGGCAGGGTGGACTGGGGATGAGGCAGAGGGGTCAGAGAAGTTTTGTGCAGGAGGGGATCCCAGGGATCATTTCACTCAACCTTTTGCTTGACAGAAAAGAAAACCGTGACCCATAGAGGGGAGATAGCTTGTTGAATGCCACCAAGTTGGCAGAAGCAGGGCTCAAACCCAGGTCAAGGGACCTTAGAAAGCATTCAGTCAAAGCAGCTTGGATGAACGAAGACTGAGAGAGAGGTTTAAGTGGCTTGCCCAAGGTCATCCAACTGGTAAATGGCAGAGTCCCATGAACCCTCATCCACTGTGCTCACTCTTGCCACTGTGCTGTTCAGGAGAGCAGGGGAATGAGCGGAGCGGGCAAAGGACTGAGGCAAATCAGACAACAAAGGAGGGTTAACGTGGTCTTGCAGATAAGCCCTCCACTTACTAGCCCAAAAGTCCAGCAGCCTGTCCTGGCTCCAGCCTGTTTCTGCTGGGGGACCCTGTTTCCAAGGGTAATTGGCCTCAGGCTCCCTCCCCCAGTGTCCCTGAGCCCCCCCCCCCGGCTCCCTGCACTCCATGCCTCCCTACCGTGTGCCTAGGCTGGGACTCCTCACTCGATCAGGTCTGCTGGCTGTGACCAGGGGCTGGGGGTACTGGCGGGGGGAGAGGGCCAGCGGAGCTCCTCTGGAGCTGTCTTCTCTTGGTGTGTCCAGGCAGGAATGAGCCCAGGGCCTCTGGTGGCTGCAGATGCAGGGGCTACATGGGTTCTCCCCCTCATTAGGTTTGCAGACTTCACCCCCGCCCCTGGTGGGGAAGCAGAGGATGGCCAGCCCGGGGCCAGCTTCTCTGCTCCTCCTTCCTTCTCAGGCTCGGCTCCAGGCCTGAGCACAGGGAGGGGGAGAGGCGGCTGGGGGGAAAACAGGAAGTTAGGTGGTCAGGCTCCGGGCCAATTCACAAGACTGGAAATTTGGAACAACAGAGCCCCCATTTCTGCTCCTTCCCCCCCGCCCCAAGCCCCAGGACAATGCTCTTAGCAGCCGCCTGGAATCCTACAAGCCCTAGGGAGGGGGAGAGGGGAGGTGAGGACCAGAAGACAACACATGTTCCAGGCCAGATGTGCTCCTGGCCACATCCAGCTGTTGCTGCCCACTCATCTTTCTTGCTGTTTCCTCGGGGATTAGCCATGCTCAGAGAATAGGCTGTTTGACTCGGGCCTGTGCTGACGTTGGCTGAGGCCCCAGTCTCCTCGACACAAACCATGCTCCCCCTCCCTCCCCCTTCTTCTGGGCTTTGGGGCTGCCTCAAGCCAGTTCTCTTGCTCTGACTTAGGGGGTGGGGGGGATTGGCCAGGCATCCGAAGATTTCAGTATCAGCTGGTCCCCCACCCACACCCCAACCATGGAAGATTTGAGAGGAGGGGCAAATTGGCGTGGAGCTCCCTCCAGGGTTAATCCACTGTCCAGACATTCCCCCCACACCCCCACCCCTCTCCTACCACTAGACTGGAAATTTACAGAAGCCCCAAATCACAGAGCTTACGAGGCACCTCCAGATTCCTACCTGAGCAGGAATCTTCTCTCCAATGAATAGGCATTGAGCCTCTGTGTGATCTCCAAGGAGGGGAACTCACTCCTTCCCCCAGCATTTGTTTTAAAAAATATCTTTTGTGGATATCTTCTGTTCATACATCACAGTCATTTCCACCTTCTCCCTCCATCCAATCAATCAACCAACCAGTCAATAAACACTTATTACATGCCTACTATGTGTAAGGCACTAGGGTAAGTGCCTGGGATACAAAGATGCAAATGATTAAGTAGCTTACATTCTAACCAAGAAGACAACACATGTGTGTGTGAATATAATTAAATACTGAACAGATACAAACTAAACAGAAGGAAATGGGGGAGAAGGCATTAGAAGCTGATCTAAAGTTATGATCTTACATGAAGAAGAGTAACATGTAATAAGGATGGCAAGGTAGGTTGTGAAGGGTTTTCAGTGTCAAACAGGGCCTTTGTATGTTATACAATAGGGAGTCATTAGAGCTTTTTAAGCAGAGGAGTGACGCAGTCAGATCTGTGCCATCGGGATATCATTTTGGCAGCTGGGTGTAGAATAAGGTATACCTCTATGACTTTGGGCAAGTTGCTATGCCTCTCTGGGCCTGCTTTCTCATCTGTAAAATTCAGCATTGGACTAGATGGCCTCTGAGACAGTTGATGATGGATGGTGGAGGATGATGATGATGATGGTGATGATAATGATGATGATGATGATGGAGGAGGAGGAGGAAGAGGATGATGATGATGATGATGATGATGATGATGGAAGATGATGATGATGATGATGATGATGGAGGAGGATGATGATGATGATGATGATGATGATGATAATGATGATAGAGGAGGAGGAGGAGGAGGATGATTCTAAGAAAAAAAAGTTGGAGACAGAGCCTTGGGTAGCACCACCAGTGAGAAGGTGGGATATGGATGAAGATCCAGCAAAGGAGACAGAGAAAGAGTGGTCAGAGAGGTAGGAGGAGAACCAGAAGAGTCCAGTGTCTTGAAAACCTAGAGAGAAGAGAGTATTGAGGAGAAGTGATCAGCAGTGCCAAAGTCTGAAGAGAGGCCAAAGAGTATGAGGACTGAGAAAAGGCCATCAGATTTGGCCTTTAAGAGATCACTGGGGGGCAGCTAGGTGGTGCGGTGGATAGAGCACCGGCCGTGAAGTCAGGAAGACCTGAGTTAAAATCCGGCCTCGGACCAAACACTTGACACTTACTAGCTGTGTGACCCTGGGCAAGTCACTTAACCCCAATTGCCTAAAAACAAAAAACAAACCAAAATAAATAAATAAATAAATAAAAATAAAAAAGAGATCACTGGCAACTTTAGATAAAGAAGTGTCAGTTGAGTATTGAAGTTGGAAACCAGATTCCAAGGCAATAAGAAGTGAGTCAGAGGAGAGAAAGTGGAAGCAATGCCTTTTCCCTCAGATTTGATTGTGAAAGTGAGGAGAAGTATAGGACAATAGTTTGAGGGGATGGTAGAGTCAGGTGGAGGTCTTTGAAGGATAAGGGAAACCCTGAAATGTGTGTAGTTGGGAAAGAAGAAACCAGCAGATTGGGAGAAATGGAAGATTTGAGAGAGGGGATGATTGTAGCTGGAGAAGATGGGAGGAGATAGGATCAAGGGCATAATTAGAGAGGTTGACTTTGACCAGGAGAAGAACCATCTCTTCATCAGAGACTGAAGTAAAGGAGGAGAGAATGGGGGATTGTGTCAAGGTATTGTGACAAATAGAAGAGGAAAGAAAAGGAAGTTCATGGAGAATCATCTCTATTTTCTCGGGCAAGTATGGAGTAAAGTCCTCAGCTGAGAGGAGGATGGAAGGAGGTTGTGTGGGAGGCTTGAAGAGAAGAGAGATGTTGGAATGATCACTGTGGGGTAGGAGGTGTCAAAAGCTCCCAAGAGTTACCTAAATTAGATTAAAATGTAATTGGATAATATTTAACAAAATAAATAAAAATACAATAGAACATAAATAATATTAATATGTGGTTTTCTAAGTCAATACGTGACCCGCAGGGATCCTTATGTACAGTTTAGTGATTCCTGTTTCTATTTAAGAGGCAACTCATTGGATAGAGTACTAGGCTTGGAGTCAGGAAGACCTGAGGTCAAGTTTGGCTTCAGACACTTACTGGCTATGTGACCCTGGACAAGTCACTTAACCTCTGATTGCCTCAATCCACTGGAGAGGGAAATGACAAACTACTCCAGTATCTTTACCAAGAAAACTCCATGGACCATATTGGCATGCTATGGTCTATGGGGTCACAGAGAGTTGGATATGACTAAAACAACCAAACAAAAAAGAGTTTCTCTTTGAGTCTGACACCATTGTACTAGAGCATCAATTAAGGAAGACTAGGATTGCCTTGCTTAAGTGAGGGTCGGGTTCGTATTAGAAAAAAAATTTTCTCCAGCACTGTTTAGCAGCAGACAAGTAGAAGTGGATGATGGGAGTAATTCCGAGCTGGGGTTTAGCAAGACAAGGTGATGATAGGACGGAGGCAAGGGATTTGAGAATAGAGTTGTAATTGATTGATTGGGTCAATACTGGGAAGGGAGGAGAGTGAAGAAAGAGCAGGATTAATGACCTTAAGAGTATTAGGACATGGCGGGATCTTCCTTCGGACAAAGAAAAACAATTAAGCAAAAATGTGTAATGCAGACACAGTAATCATCAAGCTATGCAATTTTCTGCCCCTCTCCCCACCACTTCTCTGTTATGAGAGAGGGGGAGTATTTTATTATTTCTTATTCGGGACTTTATTTTCCCCCCATTAATCAGAATTTAATTGTCTTTTTAGTGATTTTTAATTTATTTTGCAATCACATTTAGTCATCTTTAATTTACATTGTAATCTTTATGTATATTTTCTCTCAGTTCTGTTTATTTCACTTTGCATCAGTTCATATGAATCTTTTAATGTTTCTCTGAATTATTTATATCGATAATTTTTATTGCACAATAATCTTTCATTGTGTTGATATGCTATAATGGAGTATTTTTGACCATTCCCCAATTAATGGGCACCTACTATGTTTATAGTTCTTTGCTACCAGGGAGTGTTGTTATGAATATTTTGGGATTCATTGGACCTTTGTTTCTGTCTTTGAGCTCCTTGGAGTCTATTCCTAGAAGTGGGAATGGTCAAAGGATGTGGACAGTTTCATACTTTTTTTTTTACATAGTTCTAAATGGAAATGCAGAACTATCAGACCTCTTTACAGGTCCACCAACAGTGCATAAAAGTGCCTGTCTTACCATAGCCCCTCCAACAATGACTGATCTTATCTTCTGTTATTTTTGTCAATTGGCATGAGATAAAACCTGGATGAATTTACATTTCTCTTATTATTAGTGATCTGGAAAATGTTTTCATGTGCTCATTTATAGTCTGCAAATCTTCCTTTGAAAACAATTCAGTTTATCTTTGACCATTTGTCTATTGGGGAATGCCATTACAATTTCTTGGAGAAGAAATGACGCCCACCCTGATTGATCCACCCCATATGGAAGATTGGGAGTCAGAATTCCTTGGTTTTCATTCTAGAACATTGACTCACTATAAAATTAGGGGCTCTCCTCACTAGACTTAATCATTAAAAGGTGGAAAGGGGTCATAAGAACATGTCACATTGCCTCTTTTGAAGTGGGATGCTTCCTTTATTGTCATTAAGTTTTTTAGTCCTATCTGACTCTTCACGGACCATAGCACACCAATACTATCTATGGGGTTTTCTTGGCAAAGATACTGGAGTGGTTTGCCATTTCCTTCTCCAGTGGCTTCAAGCAAACAAAGGTTAAGTGACTTGCCCAGGGTCACATAGCTAGTAAGTGTCTGAGGACAGATTTGAACTCAGGTCTTCTTCTCTCCAGAACATCCTGTTGAAGTGCTCATCCACTCTTTGCTTGAAGACCTACAGTTAGGGAAAACCCACTATCTCCTGAAGTATCCCATTCTCTGAGGATCGCAGAACTCGATCCAATTCAACAAAAATTTAATTAGCACCTACTAAAACACCTACTATGTATCAAGCCCTATGTTTGGTGCTGGGAATATAGTAATAAACAATTCCAAAGTCCTTGCAAATCCCAAGAGCTTGCAGTCCAATAGAGAGGCTACAACATGTTCACAAGAATAATTTTGTTACTGTTCAATCATTTAGTGAGTCCAACTCTTTGTGACCCCATGGCCCATAGCATGTCAATACTGTCCATAGGGTTTTCCTGGCAAAGATACTTGGAGTGGTTTGCCATTTCCTCCTCCAGTTC